GACAGCTTCGCAGCCCAGCGCTCAACCGCTGCGCCACGGGGGAGGCCCTGCTTTGTTTCTATTTCACAAAAATAACCATCTAGTGTTTGTCTTTCTCCTTCTGACTCATTTCACTTAGCATAATTCCCTCAAGATCTGTCCATCTGATTTAGAGCTGAGTAGTATTCCATTGTGTGTATGTATCACATCTTTATCCAGTCATAACAGTTGTCCCCTCTGGACTACACCCACCTGCCAACTATGTAAGGGCAGTGGTGACTGAATGGCTTTTGCCTCGGCCCTGGATGAGGGTGGTGAGTGTTGTGAGTTGCTACAGCATACATGCCACTAGGCTGCCTGTGGTGGTGGCCCTCACGGGGCAGCAGCTTGTGGCACCACGCAGGGTAGTGGAGGCACAGGCTGATGGTGTCTGGAATTCCTGCACCCTGAGCGAGTGCTCTTCAAACCCGAGTTCCTGCATTGGGGTCTCAATGAGCCTGCCCTCAAGCCCTTTAAAGGACTGGCTGTTAGTCTCCACTTGACCTCACCTTCCTGTGCTCACTTCCTTTTGGTCCTCACTTCAGGGTTTCCAGGGACTTAGCTCCACTATTCTGGATCACAGGACTGGGGTGCCAGATGTTATGCCCAACCCACCACCCCCAGGAGGAAAATTCTGGACCTCAGAGATCTCTTCCAGATTGTTCCTTTCTTGGCAAGAGTGTATCTGTCTCAGTGTGGGTGCTGCTTTTTCAACTTTCAATTGTAGAAAGTCTATTCCCCTGGGTTTCAGGTCTGCTTCTGGGTAGATTAACCAATCTTTAGAGTTTCTGTATCCATGTCCATGAGGGGAGGTGAGCACAAATTCTCCCTATTCCACCATCTTGGGCCTACCTCTCTGTGTATTTTTGATCTATAGAGGTGGGACAGTCCTAGAGTTCCTCTCTCTGCTGATGCCATTTCCTCTGATTTCTCTGAAAGAGTAGAAGCACTCAAGAACGAACTTCCACAAGTGCCCTTGCACCTGTTTCTTTGTGCATTTATTCTGCTCTCACTTGTTCTGACGTGTTATTCCTGCTCCTCAGGAAGGACAAGCCCCTCACCCTGGGATTAGATTCTATCCTTACTCATGTCACATAATACTCTCTTGGATCCTCCTGTCACCACACATATTTCAACCCTAAACAAAGAAAAGTCTGTGCCCCGCCCCCCTTTTACTTCCAGCAAAACCTGAAACCTGTGAACCATGTCTGTAATTTTTCTCTTCTGACCCTGCTCCCATCTAACCACCTCCCACAGTCACATTTGCTCTTGTCGAGGTGGCCCGTGACCTGGGGATTTCTGGATTCCAAGAACATTCGTCGGGTCTCACCCTGTCCCGTCCTAATAATACATCAACTCCACCAGAGGGATAGGGTATCTTGGATGTGTGCATTTCTCACTGCTGCAACCAGCAGCGAATGCTTGGCACCCAGGAGGTAAAGAACACACGCTGTACTTTGTCAAGGATGTATATAAAGCAGTGATTGTTGATCAGAAAAAGTGCAGGATTCTGTAACCCGGCCTAGACCCTTCCCAGCTATGCTTTGCGTTTAAAAAGTTCTTGTCCTTCTTTAGGTTGCAACAGGCCCAGCATTTGGCAAAGGTGTTACTGTCACAGAGAAGTAGCAAAGAGGTGATCTGAGGAATTTATGCTAAATTCAAATTAAGAGTCTCTGATCTTGATGGACGAGGTCGGGATGGCCGTCTCTCGCCAAAAGACCAGCATGTGACCCCGTTTCAGGAGCAGAGAAGGAAGAGGAGAAAAGGGTAGTTGGGGCCCATCTGCTGCTTCCACGCCCTCTGCTGACAATACTCCACCGTTTCTGCCCCCTGTAGTAGCAAGCCTGAGGGGGGAGAACGCATTTTATTCACGGCTCAAATTCTCCCTAAAAATGCTGCCTTGTCAGTTGAATAAATGTGCTGGGAACGCAGTAACGTCCTGTGTGCCCGGGTCTCAGTGGTGATCAAGACATCGGCCAGCCTTCTTTCTTCCTGACCAGTAGCAGGAGGGAAACTAGTATTTATGGCCTCTCCCCGGGGCCAGGTACCTGCAACGACAGACCTAAGAATTTCCCGACAGAACGCAAGCCTGGAATTAGGCTCTCCCCATCCCCGGGCGGATGTTCTCTCTGCCTTCGCCTCCGCACCACCAGCGGCGCGGTCCTCTCCCCCGAGGGACTGGGGCAGTCCTTTGGGAGATGCCGCCCCTGCCATCCTAGCACGTGAGCTGAGGTCTTCCAGGCTGACACGTTCAAAACTCACATCGTGGGTAGATCGAGTGAAGCTACACAGGCATCGCGTTCTATAGGAAAAACAAAACTACACTCGTGGGACAGTCAGTCATTTAATGAAATGAAATAGGCTTCACCCTTCTCGCCACATAGCCTTGGCACAGACATGACATTTCCATTGCGTAAGGTGAGGTGGTGAGATCCTTCCAGACCTCACTCTATATTTTCATTTGCTTGTTTCTATGATAAAGGATGCAGATAACAAACTGGTACAAGTGTAAAAAAAAAGTTGGTCTAAGTGATATGGTATTTTAGTTACCGTTTCATCATTGATGTCAGGATTTTTGAAGACACAAAAATGGCAGCCAAGATGCTTCCTCTCGCAAGTGCTCGTCGCTCAAGGTTGGGGGTGGGGTGGGGTGGAAAAGGATCCTCACAAGAAGCCTAATGTTCACAGCACTGACCAAAAAGCGGGTTTTAGTCATTATGCCACATTCCCCCAGTGCTGGAAGCACAACAGCAGGATGAGAAATAGCTCTAAACCCTCTTCTCTAGTTCACGTGATCAAGTAAGTGAATTTAGGTTTCCTAACCAAAGTATCTAATTTTTTTCTCGTCATTTTCCTTTGTTCCAGGTTTTTTCTGATGTATTTGATCAATAAAGATGAAACAGAGCACACAGGCCAGGTGAGAAAATGCATGTCTGCAAGGAAGAATTACACCCCTAGTTTAGAGCTCCCCGTTCCCGATCTCGAGACTCGGCAGGACAGGCGCTCTGAAGTCAGTCACCTGCTAGTCTCTGCCGTGCATGTTTGCCCCGTCGCTCTGTGGCTGAAAACGCCAACAAGCCAAGGCCACTGTTTCCGAGGGCCTCCTGGTCATCCTTCCCAACACACACTGACATTTCCTAAACCCTCAGTCATTGTTTCAGAGAAGAATAGCTGGCGGTGGGGAGAACGTTCCAGAGAAAAACACAACACGAAACTGAGTGGGTGGCTATAACAAAGAGCAGGAGCAGCAGAGTAAAGCGGTGACAGCACCAGGGAGAGAAGGGCCTTCTGCGTGGGTGACACAGGCAGGGTGGAGGGTGGGGGCGGGAGTGAGAGTTGTGTCAAAGGGATCCTGTGACGACCAGGAAAGACAAATGGAAACAAGCGGGGAAAGGTAGGTTGCCCGCGAGTCCAACATGTCTGGGGTTGGGGGGAAACCTCGCAGCTCAAACGCTCGAGAGAGGCACGCGCCTGCGGTCTGCCCTGAGCCCTCGGAGAGCAGGGAATGTTCTCCCATCGTGCATTCGTCTGCCAGTTTCAGATGAACTGTGAAATCAAGTAATTTAGGGTGCTCACTCAGCGGTATTGTTTTTGGGGAGAAGGAGAGGGAGAAATGGGCTAGAAATAGAGCAAAAAAGCGCGTGCAGAGGGGGCCCTCCGAGAGACCGACGCCCGTATTTCTGTGGGAGACGCAGTGAGGACAAACTGGCTTTAGCTAACTCCAGTTTAAAAAAAAAAACAAAGTACCCGTTGCTCACCCCCTGGCAGGAATCTTACGTCTGGAAGATGTACCAGGAGAGGTGCTGGGATTTCTTCCCGGCGGGCGACTGCTTTCGGAAACAGTATGAAGACCAGCTGGGATAAAGCTGACAGCGAGGCCACCGTTCCGGACGGCCACCTCCCGCAAAATGGCATCGTCCTTTCGGGGGCCTGCAACCTGTGTGACACGTGGCATTCTCTAGAAGCCTCCCTTACAAGAAAGTGTGTGTGAAAAATCTGTGCTGTTTTGGAATTGATTTGGCTTTCTGGACCTACTGGCTGGACGCTGCGGGAGATGACCTGTCAGGCCCTGCGTGGGGCGAGGCGGAGGACGGCAAAGGCTCCAGGACTCACTAGGCAGAGGCCTTCAGGTGTTCCAGTTCTAGCCAGACGGCCGGGAGCCCATCGCCGAGGAAAAGGGGGGAGAAGTACGACGTCTTAAACACGTCGATGTCGCATGACAGTTCCGCGCTAGTGACTCATGGTCTGAACTACAAAAGCTCATTTTAACTGCAGTCTAATTTTTTCCCATGGTACTTGCTAGTGAATGTATCCAGAATCAGCTTGAAAAGCTTTAAGCAGTTAAAGACATAGAAAAAAAACAACAAAACCACCACTTTGTCGACACTGAAATATCGAGTAAGTGCCTTAAAAACCTCTTTAGATATAGCTATGCAAGTTTTTTATGTTTATGTTCCAGACGGTTCCATGAATTAGTTGTGTTGATCCTCTGTCTTTATGAAACTGCACTTGGAGGTTATTCATATATTTTTTTTCAGTAACAGCTTGTCAACTGCTGTTATTAGAAAAGTACTGTACTGAAATTTCAGAAAACTCTCAATCTTATGCCAAATCAAGTCATGCTTTATGGTCCCTTGTAAGTAGTGGAGCTGCTATGTTTAGGTGACTCTCCTTAAGTAAAATGAAGTGCCCACTGCAATAAAGTCATACACACCAACCCATGCTTTGGCCTCGTGACGTGCCGCGCCTGCTGGAGGTTGCCACACGCTGCCGCTGCCGGGGAGAGGGACACGGGACAAAAAAAAAAAAAAAAAACCCCAGGCCCACACAGAAGGAAACCTTCACAGACCAGTTATTCTGGCCAAACGCCTACCCTGTGGGTCACTTCTATTCTCTTCAACGGCACCTGCTATGCTAGAAACATCGAGAGGAAGGAGGCGGGAAACAAGGGCTTCCCCCCCCACCCCCCCCACCCCCCGTGCCCTGGAGGAACCTATTAAATCACCAAGCCAGAGAACAAGTGCCATGAGCTTCTTCAATGTATTATGCCAGATGCTGAGACACAGAGGTGGGCGCGGGCGTGCCGCCAGCCAGCTGTTGTGGGACAGCGCTTACTTACAAGGCAACCAAAATTTGCTTCAGGCACTTTTTGGTCCTTTAGGAAATCATGCTGTCCAGCCAGTCTTCCAGCTCTTCCTCCGTAACGTCTTTTGATGTACTCGGGTGCTCTGATTCCACTTTCTCTTCTGCCGTCACAGACGGCTTTGCAGGAACTGGCGAAAATAAAAGCAATATTAACAAGTTCATGTTGGTCCCCAAACCGAGCTTTCCTGGGGTCTGTTCCATGACGTAATTCAGCTCTAATCATAACTCCCCTTACAAAGGGGAACCTTCTCTTACTGCTCCTGCTCCCTCAGAGGCTAGTACTGTAGCTAAAGCAATTAATAAATGAGGTCAAGAGTCACTCTTCCCTTTACCCTGCAGTTGGCTTTCACATGCACTTGTTTTTTATTATTTTTTGAAAGACCCCCCGCTGGGTTTTCTCTGGCCCATTGTGGTGTGGGATGGGACCTCGCCCTGGGCCCTCCCTACGCACGGGCCACCATCTCGCAGGACAGGCACAGATGAAGCTTTTTTTTTTAATCAAACTAGCCCGGATAGAGAGCTGGAGGCCAGGCCCGTTCAGTCGATTAAAAGGCCTGCCGCCGCGCAGCTGCGGTCTGGCGAGTGCTCTCCTGCCTGCTCACGGCCCAGTTCACAGGCTGCAATCAAGCAGGCAGCAGCTCCAGACCCAGTATATCGAGTGCGAGCAATCTCGTCAGAAAGGTCAGCCCCGGGGGAAGCAGGTACATGAGCCCAGAAATAGATGTCGGTGGAGAACACCGGATCGATGTCAGACGGGGACGTGTGCGAGTGTGACACGGGCAGAGCTGTTCCCACGCAAACACCCGCATCCAGATGCCAATAAAGAACAAAAGCCATACCCGCTTCTTCCTGGGCCAGCTCCCCATCTTTCTCAGATTCCAGGTCCCGAGGTATCTGAGCCGGTGAGATGTTCTCTTCCTCTTTCACAGGCGAATTCAAGGTAAGCAGTAGATCGAGCTCTTCTTCCAGATGGCCCGCCACTGGCGACGGCGGGGGGGCAGGCTTCTGAGACCCCTCGGCCAGCGCTGGTCTGGGGCAGCCAGCGGCTCTCAGCTCGGAGACGGCCCCCTTCCCTCCAGGCCCCAGGGGCCCTTTTAACTGCATCCCTGGCCCCTGGCCCTCGTCCCTTCTCTTTGGCTTCACCTGAGGAAGCTCTGAAGGGAGGGTGGTCTGAAAGAGAAGCAGAACACGCGTTTAAAATGTGGGTCTTGTCATACTGGCTTAAGCAGAAACAAAAGCAAAGGAAGACATTCGACTAAGTTCACAAAGCATCTCCTGTCAGGCCCTGCCCCAGCCCTTCCTTATCCAGAGGGGTAACACGGGGTGGCGTGGAGGCCTCCCCGAGAAATGGCGCTCCACCCACTTCAGCCGTGTGCACACTAGCTGGGAGCTGGAGTCAGCAGGCCCCTGGCTTCCCAGCCCTGGCCTGACGACTCAGTCCCACGGACCTGCTGGGACATAGACAGGTGGCCCGCCACAGCCTCAGGCCTCCACGAGGCAGCCAGGCCTGGACAGAAAACACGTGTTCGGAGCGAGGCCGACATGGCCGTGTCCACGCCGAGCACGTACAACAGACCACGCTCCGGGAGGGCAGGACCCACGCGTGTCGGCTCCCTGCCACGCCGTTAGAGCCGGGCCCGCAACTCTACTGAATAAAATGCCAGCCAGACTTCATACTTTCACGTTTCATTCAGTTCTATCACATGTGCGCCCTTAAAGTGGTTCAACAGGAAATGTAAAGGAAGAGCTAAAATAAAAGCTCTCACTTGCTCCTGAAACTTGGTAAAAAGCCAGCGGGCGCAGAGCCGCTTCAGGACGGGCGCGGCTGAGCGTGGACCCTGCAGAGCGCGCGCCCCCCTCTCTGCTCCAGCCCGACGCGCCACCTCCAGGGGACTTCAGAGGCTTTACCTGGACCAATTCAGCAGCAACGTTGAGTCGGACTGAGAGGGGCAGTTCCTGCAGGGCCTGGACCAGTGACTCACAGTCCACGTAGAGTGCCGAGTTCTGTGTGGGGGGAAGACGGACAGCTCAGGTGAGGAGGCCCAGCCCTTCGGTAATGAGAGGCGGCCAGTAACTATGAGCAAGTCATCGCTGGAGCGGCGTTCAGCTGGGGCTAAGAGCGTACACCACACCCGGAGAGGGTTATATTTTCGATCCTCCCCACAGGAGCGGAACCCAGGAACCCAAACCACCTCTCGGGGGGCACAGCTCTCGCTGGGAGAGCAGCAGCGGGGTGGCGATCCCCCACAGGGGGGGCTGCGCAGGAACCGGAAACAGCAGGCTTTGGAACTCCTGGCAAATTCAGAGAGACTCAATGAAACGGAAGAGGCTCCATCCCCCACATCCAGAGGAGCCTCTGCAGGGAGGAGCTGTCGAGGCAGAGAGAGGGGCTGACCCGGGTGGGGGGCGGGGAGGGTCATGCTTGTGTCGGGAGCATCCCTCACACTCTGTGGGAGGCCCGCAGGGAACGCTCTCTTACTCCCCGCCCCTTCGGGGAAGTCAGCTCCACGCAAGGACTCTGCAGATGGACAGTCCTGGAGAAAACATTGCAGGCGGTCGCCTGGCTCACTAACAGCTGCTTTTAGGTCCCCTGTCTCCACAGGGGAGACAGAGAAGGAAAACTCTCAAAGGTGGTCACACGGGCCTCCCCTACAGCAGCCACCACTGCCAACCACCTTGTCCACCAAGCACGGCCACGGGCCCAGCTAGGCGCTGCGCTCAGGTTAGAAGGGAACTCAGGGGCCACCTGGTCCAGAATGTGCAGGCGCAGGAACGCGGTGACGGGGAACAGAGCAGAGGCCCCCGACACTAGGTCCACACCCACTTGAACTCGTATCCCCACAAGAGAAGTCCATGGGGATCCCGAGAAATGATGTGGCTTCCAAGACCTGCCATTTTCCTAAGATGGATAAAGCTCAGGGAAGCAACGTTAGTGCTCCAGGGAAGGAGCAGAGACGTGCCAGGGTCTGGCTTAGAGTCCAAATGTCCTCCAGCCCCTTTCACGACACACGCAACATGACGACAGGGTGTGTCACACGTGTGAAGTCCTTGTGCGACCACACGAAGCTGGGGGAGCACCATGCTGTGCCCACGGGTGTGTTCTGCTGCAGCGAGCCGGGTGACGTCTGCTGTGGGGCCTCCCACGCCTCCAGTCCTCACCCGTCCGCCCTTGCACGTGGTCTTTCCCCCACAGTTCTGCCCCGAATCCCTTCCAGCTCAAAGCAGCTGGTCTCCCACAGCATGTGTTCACGCAGTTATCACACCACTTATTTGGTTTCGTATTTCATTTACTGCATAACTATTTAGCGGTCATCTGCTACATGCCCTGCGCTGCGCTAAGGCCAGGGGCCTCGGGTGAGGAACAAGCACCGTCTCGGCCTTATTCATCTTTCTACACTCACGCCCAATACACTATCTAGTTAACAGCAAGGGCGTGGTGACTGGAATAGAGCAGCTTCAAACTATGTGAAGGCAGAATATTCTCTGATGGCCAACATGGTTCAAAGGGAGTTCAAAGGTGAGTGACCAGGCATTCCTCGGTGACCTCGGTCTGTCTGTCACCAAGATGTCCTAGAATTCGAAACTGTACCTCAGGTATAGCCTAGACTCACTCAAGCCATGAATAGTTTTGATTCCCAACTCTTTCTGCAGCATGTCACATACTCTTTGTAAAGTGACAGGCAGCCATTTTGCAAATAATTTCCCTCCCCATGGACTGCACGGTACATCATGCCCATTGCAAACAACTGACAGAACCCCAGCCCCGAGAGAAATGAGCCCCTTGCAGTGCACACAGGAACTGGCAGCGGTGTGGGGGTGCGGGAGGGAGCTGGAACTCTGGGTTCGGGGCTGCCGCTCAGCCACCTGTCTAAAGCTGCGGGCAGGCGGTGCCATCGTGTACCAGATGGTCCGCTCTAGCCCTGCAGCCGAGGGGCATGTGACAAGCCACGACCAGCTCTCCTGGGCATTCTAAACAGGTAAGAATCCCTGTCATGTCCTGTATGGAAAGAATCAGTGAAATCCTGCCTGGGAAAGAATCACAGCTCCCAGGGAAGAAAATACAGCAAATCACGAAGCGTATTAGCATTTGGAGTTTATGGACAAACCAAAAGGCTTTTCTGCTATGTGTTCACATGTTATAGCTTTATTCTAATTATAGCAGTGTTATTTAAAGTTGTCAAGGACTTTCTCATCTAACAACAAAGAGAGTGTAGGAGAAGAAAATTTCATTTCCAACCCTAAAGGGCATTTTCACAGAAAGGGAAAAAAAAGTCAAATGTCAAAGTCACCCCCTCGAAACCCTAACTCTAGGTCTAGCGGGTCTGCATGAGCAATTCCCGAGCTGGGCCCACAGAAAGGTGAGGTCTGGTTTTAAGAACCCGCCTGACTTGAGCTCACTGAACATTGGGGAGCTGGGACTCGGCTGTGCACGAGTCACTAGACGCTTCTACCTGCAGACGCCAGCTCAGCACTAGTGTCAGGGACGTGAGCCTGCAGCCATGGGAAGAGCTGACCCGCGTTCCAGACAAACCTCTCTCTTACCTGTTTGGGACAGGAGGCCTCGCCATCCCACGCCTTCTCCTCAGCAAACCGGAACTGTGAGAACGAGTCTCCTAGGACAGAGGAAACACACGATGTCATGCAAAAGCCGAAGGAGACTCATATTCTCAATTTCCCTTTGGGAATAAAAGTGCCATCTCCAAAGTGCTCACCCCCCTGGATCCCGTGGTGTGCATGGTGGGCCCTCAAAAATATCACTGGCAGCTGCATCAGCTGCATTTTTTTTTTTAAGTATGAAATATTTTTTCTGTTTTTTTATTATTATTTTATTTTATATATTTTTTACTTCATTTTTCATTTTTGTACAATGTATGCATTTTCACCTCAAGTTATAGTCCCCGTGCAATTCTGCATGGTACTGGGAACAAGAACAGATGCACGGACCAATGACATCGAATAGAAAACCCACAAATAAACCCACAGATTGACGGGCAACTAATCTTTGACAAAGGAGCAAAGACTATGCATTGGAGCAAAGGAAGTTTGTTCAATAAATGGTGCTGGGAAAACTGGGTCGCTACATGCAAAAGAATGAAGCTTGACCACTACCTCACACCATACACAAAAATCAACTCAAAATGGATTAAAGAACTAGACATAAGACCTGAAACCATAAAATACATAGAAGGAAATATAGGCGAAACACTACATGACATGCACCTCAAAGACATCTTTACAGACACATCACCCAAAGCAGTGATAGTGAAGGCAAAGATAAACAGCTGGGACTACATCAAATGAAAGAGCTTCTGCACAGCAAAAGAGACAGCAACCAAAAGAAAGAGACACCCCACTGATTGGGAGAACATTTTTGCACCCAACACTAATGATTAGGGACTGATCACAAAGATGTACAAAGAGCTGGCAAACTCAACAAAAACAAAGCAAACAACCCAGTCATTCTAGTCTCATTGGGCTCTCCGGAAACCACATCCTGGGCTTCTGGAGGGACAACTGCACAGCTGAGGCTTGCGGGCTGCTTAGTGTATGTGAGGATACTTGCATTTATTTTGGGGGGTCGGGGGAGTACAGCAGAAAAAGAGGAAAAAGGGAACAGAAGGAATGCAGTTCTAGATCGAACCACGTATTACAGAGGTGAGGCTTCCAACTCAGCCATCTTACAAAAATCACCTGCTTAGAATGTCATAAGCAAAATAAAACCCCAAATGTGCATTAGATCAACGTGAATCGTGGTGAGTTCTTGCGCCAAGGGGAAGGCACATTTCGGATCAACAGAATCAAGCACGGAAGGTGACCCGGGCCGCGCGCTGTGCCACAGGCGCGTTTGTAAATATGAGCCCATCTGATCATTTGCTTTAAGACCAGGTAATTTATACATGAAGAATTATTTCTCTGCTTCAGTTTCAGTATCTTCCAACCTACCTCACTAACCCACATTTACTTCCTATTTCTTGGGATGTTCTAGTCCAAAGTCAGAGATTCTTTTCACATTCCAAAAGCACTTCCGACTCCATCCTCGCCGTTTTTTATCCTTTGTCTGGAAGACCCACACACGTCTGCCCATTTATAGCCTATTTATACTCAGATACAGGCCCACTTTCCCCTCCTGAGATACCTCCCAGGTAATCCAACCACAGAGCCCAACTTTACTTCTAAATTACGGGAGGAAAAAAGTGAAGAATCCAAATTTAATAAGCCAGAAAGAAAAAGAAAAATACCGGATGGTCTCACTCATAGCAGGAATGCAGAAAACCTAAATAAGGGACCAGGAAAAAGACTAATTATAATAAAGACTAATATAATTAATCTTATAATTATAATAAAGACTAATATAAAAATTAAAACCAACAAGCATCTATAAGCCAGGGACACACTAAGGGACGGGCGGGGAAGGGAGGAGGGGGTAGGATCAAAACAAAGGGGGTGGGAATTGTACGGGGACCACAACCAAGATGAAAATGCATACATTGTACAAAAATGAAAAATGATGTAAGAATACATAACATAAAATAAAAATAAAGCCAATTATATCTGTAAAAAAATAAAGTTTTACCTCTTAAAAAAAAGAAACAAAGGTAGCATGAGAACCTAAACCACTGTACCACTTCCAAAATGCACGATCCCAGCATTAACATCTGACAAGATCAAAGTCAAGGCAGAAAGGACAAGACCATCAAGAGAAAGGGTGATATCAGGACTCTCAAGCCCTTGTCAGATCATTCTGATTCCCAGAAATTGTGATACTAAAGACATGACTGAATTAGGAATTGTATGTGTACACACATGTAAGTGTGTGTGTGTCAGAACTCTGTGTGTACTTTATAAATATTTGTGCAAAATCAAAATGTTAAAAGAACGATGAAAAAACCACCCAAATCCAGTAAATCCTAAAATGCAGCAATCGCACGAAACAGTTTTGCTGGTATTGAACACCTGACGCATATACAGGCAAAGCGTTAATATCTCATATCAAAGAGCTTTTTCAATCCACCAGAATAAAGCAACCCACCAATAGAAAAGCAGGGGAAAGGGACAAGGTGGGGGCGGGGGGAAAGGGGGGAGAGGGGGAGAGAGAGAGAGAGAGAGTGAGTGAGTGTGTGTGTGTGTGTGTGTGTAAAATCAATAGGGTAGATATTTAAAACTTGGCCAGATAGCAGAATGACTTACTCAATGTTATTTTGGGCATTTCTTTTTTTTTTTTTTAAGATTTATTTATTTATACAAGCACTGGGTACAGTCAGAAGCGCGGGAGGGTGAGAGAATTCACCAGAGCCGGAGCGGGGAGCAGAGCAGGCAGAAGGACCGAAGTACACTGCTGAGGGGAGCAGCGGGCGGCAGGAGAGGTCTGCGCGCCTGAAAATTTTTTTTTTTTTTTTTTTTATTTGTTTATTTATTTTTATACATGCACTGGGTACAGTCAGAAGCGCGGGAGGGTGAGAGGATTCACCAGAGCCAGAGCAGGGAGCAGAGCAGGCAGAAGGACCGAAGTACACTGCTGAGGGGAGCAGCGAGCGGCAGGAGAGGTCTGCGCACCATGCGGAACCCTCGCCGGCAGCCGGGGATCGAACTGGCGCTGCAGAAGGTGCGGGCAGCTTCGCAGCCCAGCGCTCAATCGCCTGCGCCACCAGGGGAGGCCCTATTTTGGGCATTTCTTATCTTTTACGTTACACGGGACCCTATGATTGCACAGATTATGATTGTGATAAATAACCACAGCAAGCATTAATGCACACAAAGCATGCTCTAAGTATTTTTAACACTGCAGGGGAGATGCCAGCAACGGCTAATTCGCTTGCCCAAACCAATCCTGTTGCTGACAACACTTGGGAACATTGGCTCTGAAAAGTTCTCTGGAGACAGGAAGGCCAAAGTAGTGAGGACACGTGGGACAAGGGCAAAGAGACGCACAGGAGTAAAGTTAGTATTTGCCAAGATTCTTCCCTTTGAGGCAATGTCAGTTTCCAAAGGTGGCACTGAGGAGTGAAAACAGGATCAATGACAACCTACAGGCTGCGGGCGGCAGGGGATTCTGTCAGTCCTGGCGCTGAGTGAGCAAAGACTGGGAGTCGGGTCCCTGGGCGTGGGGATCAGCCTTTCAGGGGAGCCCCCGAGGACTGCACTGAGCCGTGAGGAAGCCCTCAGAGGGGCCAAGGCCCAGGGGGGAATCAGTTCAATCTCTGATTCTGCCCACAAGAAGCTAAAGTAAACCCTTTCTGGAGGAAACTAACACTGAGTAGCTTAAAATCATCCCTGCAACGTTTTTATACATGATGTCCAAAGATCGGTAACCACCGTCATGCACATCAGGAGATGACCCCAAATAACAGAAAACGAGTGGGGGAAAAATGAGAGTAGGAAAAGGTCCGCAGAGCTTAAAATACTGGAGTTATCAGAAATGGATTTTGAAATTTTGCATGTAAAGGTGTCATAATGAGAAGCTATAAAATCACAATGACATCCGTGAAGCTTTCTTTGATTCACATAAAATCTACCTATCATACAAAGAAAGGAAAAAATGTTAGTAAAAATAAAATCTCTAAAACATGTTCTGCTTATAGTCATCAAACTCCAAACAATAACCATCTTAAAATGCTTTCAAAAATCCCTAATGAAAAAAGAATAGAGGATAATTCTGGAGGAAAAAAAATAAAAGCTTGTTAAAATGAGTGGAGAATGCCAACCTCTTCCTCTCTCACTCGCAAGAAGTGCTCCAGATTCTCCAAACCATGAAATCCTAAAATCAAATCCTTCTGGAAATCACGGTGCCAAATTCTTCCTGAACTAGTTCACAACATGCATAACAAGGCGGTGGCCTTCGCCAACGTGCTGGTCCAGTGTCTTGTCCGACAGGCATGTGGTCATGCAGACACCGAGGCCTTCTCTCCAGAAGCCAGGGCTCTCCCCCAACCATGCATGCAATTCCGCTCCTGCCTTAGTCACCTGCTGAACAAGGTCTTGATTCCTCACACTCACACGGTGAATCCAACTAAAAAGCAGGGCATGGAGACCTGTAAGAGCAGCGAGAGCCACTAATGCTGACAAAGAAACAAAAGGCGGTGACGTGTGCGGGCTGGGGGGACAGGAGTCCCTACGGCTGGGGTCACGTGGCCCGGGGGGGGCGTCAGAAAGTCACGCCAGGGCTCCGTGAGGAAGGAAACTAGGAAACATGAAGAGATGGACAGCACCTCCAGCTCCTTCTTCAGCCAAAGACGCACCATGACTGTACGAGACGTGACGGTGCCCCACCCGGTGTGTCCTTACACAACACCCTCACCCGCGCCGAGGAGCAGCTCGCGCCTTCTCTGCGGGCTCCCTGATCAACAGCAGCTGCCGAAATCCCACCCCATTCTATTCTGCAGATGGGACCATCACAACAGCAGGCCGGCGAGGCCCAGCCTTCCTTGGGAAGAAGGTGATAAACCACCCGCCCAGCTCCGGAGGGCCGCGAGCCAGCACCTGACACCAGGCATCCCGGCAGGTAACTGGCGCACGCCGGCCCCCCAAGTGAGACAGGCCGAGAAAACAGAGCCCGAATCCTCCATGCAGAGGCCTATCTCCCGCCCCGCCCCGCCCCACACTCCTTTGCAGGTTG